GTGCTGAGGGAAGATTTGGGGTGCTGGGGGAGATTTGGGGTGCTGGAGGAGATCTTGGGGTGCTGAGGGAAGATTTGGGGTGCTGGGGGAAGATTTGGGGTGCTGGGGGAACTCTCAGGGTTCTGGGGGGACTCTCAAGGTTTTGGGGGGACTCTCGGGGTGCAGGGGTGACGCTGGGGGCTCTGTGGTGACTCTGGGGACACTCTTGGGGTGCAGAGGTGGCTCTGGGGTGACTGTTGGGGTACAGGGGGGCTCGGGGGAACTCGGGTGAATTTTGGGGCTCTGGGGTGACGCTGGGAAGCTCTCAGGTGACTCTGGGATGAATTTTGTGGTGAATTTTGGGGCTCTGGGGTGACGCTGGGAAGCTCTCAGGTGACTCTGGGGGGCTCTGGGATGAATTTTTTGGTGAATTTTGGGGCTCTGGGATGAATTCTGGGGCTCTCAGGTGACTGGGGTGACTCCAGGATGAGTTTTGGGGCTCCAGGATGAGTTTTGGGGCTCTCAGGTGACTCCAGGATGAATTTTGGGGCTCTCAGATGACTCCAGGATGAATTTTGGGGCTCTCAGGTGAATTTTGGGGCTCTCAGATGAATTTTGGGGCTCTCAGGTGACTCCAGGATGAATTTTGGGATGAATTTTGGGGCTCTGGGGTGACTCCAGGATGGATTTTGGGGCTCCAGGATGGATTTTGGGGTGAATTTTGGGGCTCTCAGATTACTCCAGGATGAATGTTGGGGCTCTCAGGTGACTCCAGGATGAATTTTGGGGTTCCAGGATGAATTTTGGGGCTCCAGGATGGATTTGGGGGTGAATTTTGGGGTTCCAGGATGAATCTGGGGCTCCAGGATGGATTTTGGGGATGCGGGGTGACTCTGGTGTGAATTCTGGGGCTCCAGGATGAATTCTGGGGTGAATTTCGGGGCTCTCAGGTGACTCCAGGATGAATTTTGGGGCTGTCAGGTGAATTTTGGGGCTCTCAGGTGTCTCCAGGATGAATTTTGGGGCTGTCAGGTGAATTTTGGGGCTCTCAGGTGTCTCCAGGATGAATTTTGGGGCTCTGGGGTGACTCCAGGATGGATTTGGGGTGAATTCTGGGGCTCTCAGGTGACTCCAGGATGAATTTTTGAGGCTCCAGGATGAATTTCGGGGCTCTCAGGTGAATTTTGGGGCTCTTGGGTGACTCCAGGATGAATTTTGGGATGAATTTTGGGGCTCTGGGGTGACTCCAGGATGGATTTTGGGGTTCCAGGATGAATTCTGGGGCTCCAGGATGGATTTTGGGGTGAATTTTGGGGCTCCAGGATGAATTTGGGGCTCCAGGATGGATTCTGGGGTGAATTTCGGGGCTCTCGGGCGCAGCAGAGCCGGCGGAGTAGAAACCACGGAGTTTTATTTGCAGTCACGATGCTTTTACACGGATTGCAGCAAACACCCGACACCAACCAGCGCCTGCCGACGGGAAAGGAGCCCACACACACCAGCAGGGAGAGAAAAACCCAAACCCAGCACGGGAACCTCCGGAACAGCGCCGGAACCGGCACGGAAAAATGGGAAATGGGGAAAAATGGGGGGAAATGGGGAAAAAAAGGGGGAAAAAGGGTGGGAAAAAGGGGGGAAAAAGGGGGGGGAAAGGATAAAAAAGGTAAAAAAAAAGGAAAAAAAGGGGAAAAAAAATAAGGGGAAAAAAGGAAAAAGGGGGAAAAAAGGGAGAAAAAGAAAAAAGGGAAAAAAAGGAAAAAAAGGGGAAAGAAAAAGGGGAAAAACGGAGAAGAAGGGGGAAAAATGGGGAAAATAAGGGGGGAAAAATAAAGGGGGAAAAAATAATAAAAAAAGGAAAAAAAGGGGAAAAAATGAAAAAAAAAGGGGGAAAAAGGAAAAAAAGGGAAAGAAGAAAAAGGGGAAAAAAGAAAAAAAGGGGAAAAAAGGAAAAATAAGGGAAAAAAGGGAGAAAAGGAAAAGAAAATATGGGAAAAAAGGAAAAAAAGGGGAAAGAAGAAAAGAAAAAGGGGAAAAAAAGGAAAAAGGAAAATAAAGACAAGGAAATTAGAAAGAAAAATGAGAAAAGGAAAAAAAGGAGAAAAAAAGCAAAATAAAAAAAGGAAAAAAAAAAAGATTAAAAAAAAAAGGGAAAATACAGAATTCCAAAACTCAAATTCCAAAAGCAAATTCCAAGAGCGTGTGGGAAGAGAAGAAAGGGCCGAGAGGTTTTGGGGGGAGCTGAGCAGGAGGATGCACACGAGTAGCAGCAACGAGAGTGGGGAAATCCAAGAGTTTCCCTCGGATCCATCCGTATCCCAAAAAAAAAACTGGGAATAAAAAGGAGGGGAAGGAGGGGACGGGAGCCACGAGCAAAGCACGAACGGAGGGGTCACGTCATGGCTTCGAGTTCCCGACAACCGGGGCTGGGAAATGATCATTTCTCAGAGGGGCTTAATAAGAAAAAATATACATTTGGAATTTTACAACGCTTTTTTTTTGGGTTTTTTTTGTGGTTTTTGTGTTTTTTTGCTGTGTTTTTTAAAATTTTTTAATTATTATTTATTATTATTATTATTATTAATTCTTTTTTTTGTGTTTTTTTTATTTTTTTTAAGCGTTTGTTTGAGTTTTCGCTTCTCTCTCTCTCTCTCTCTCTCTTTAATAATCTCTGCACTTTCACACCCCCTCGCCCAGTAAAGCTTCAGGCCACGCTTTCCTCACTCACATTCATCATCCTCACACCAGGACTCTGTAAAAATTTCAATCACACTTTGTATTTTTTTTTTTTTGTATTTTTATCCTTTTGTCTTTTTTTTTTATCTTTGTTTTTTGTGGGTTTTTTATGATTTTTTTTGTAATTTTTTTGTGATTTTTTTTCCCCACCTTTTATTTTTTTTGTCTTTTTTTAAAATTTTTTTTGTCTTTGTCTTTTTTTTTTAATCTATTTTTTTGTCTATTTTTTAATTTTTTTTTGTTTTTTACCCTTTTTATCTTTTTTTTTATCTTTTTTTTTAATCTTTTTTTCATCT